GATATTCAAAAAACAGCGACGGACATTCTATTTTGAAACGGATAATAGTTTTAATGTCATTAGATGTAATACGATTCGAAAAGATTCATTAGTAACGCTTTACCTAAAACCCGTTATCATTCATTGTTTCCTTCAAAGATATATCAATTGTTGCCTTATATTCAAATATTTATTGTTGACACTTTGTGTCATTATTAAGCCATCGGGATGTGGGTGTGGTATGAAGAGAAGAACGGTCCTTTACCACATACAAGCTTATACCTACATTTTAGAATTTCTTCATGCTACCGTTGGATCATTATAAAGACTCTGTTGTTGTTGTTGTACCAAACGTTTTCATTATCAGATACTCTTATTTTTAAATCTTTTTTCACAGCTTTTTTGTGATATGTTACAAACATTTTTGGTTATTCTTGTTTTTTATAATTGTAATGATTTATCTAATGTGTTCTCAGAATTTTTCCTGTCCGTTGATTCTTTTTCTTGTTCTTTTTATTAATGCACGAATAGTATAAAGAAAAGTTATTTGTAACATGGACAGATTTCTCTGCTCAATTTCGAAAATAATGGATTTCAAAACATTTTAATCCATCTCAGTGTATGTCTAAACTATCTTCATTTTTTGACAATACGTTCGATACAATAGAATGTTTTCTCTGTCCAAGTATATGCAAAGAAATCATATATAGGTCATGTAGTTATATTATTATATATATACATATAGATACCAAATGTCAATAAAGCTGAATTCCTTTTCCGTAGTTGATCGGTATTTAGATATAGATCCTGATATTTATATATTTGCTGCACGTCATGCTCGTTTTAATTTTTATTTGCTAATGATGCTCATATTCGAAACATAATTTCTTTTGTGTTTTTTTTCTTCGAAAACACGATATCACGTTCAAGTCTGATGAAGGAGTCTTTAGATCTTTTTCTTAAACTTCGATAGAAATTGCAACTTATTTGTGAGATAAACGTATAATACCAGCAAACAGCGACCTCTCATTAATATTTTATCTAAGTCAGAGGAGGTACGCAGGTTTGTTCAATGGCTCTTTCCTGTATGTAACTGAAACTGTATGTAAATTTCTAAATTTTTCTCTTTGACATATATATATAATTTCTTCTTGTTTTGTTGAGTTCAAATGTTTTTTTTAATTTCCTTTGTTTTTGTTTTAAAGTAACCTTTTACTATTTCTCTCTAAAGAACAGAAAAATGTTTCTTCCATTAGTCTGTTCTTCGAAATAAAATCACATATTCAAGCTAGTCGAATATAACAAATTATACGATTGCATTTCTCTTATTTATAAATTTAGATAATATATTATGTTACGATACAGTTTATCGTCAATATATCGTCCGTACCTTATCAATACATTTGTTCGACGAACATTATTCGGTCGAAGCAGTTCAACCAAAAAAATAAAAGATGATTTCGATGGAGAAATCATTGAACAACCAGACTCTATACCACAATCTGCTGTTCCAACAGTTTCTGAATTAGCTTCTTATAAAACTAAAAAATATGTTACACGTTTAGTCACTTGTCGTCCATTTACGCCACCATCAAATATTGAACAACTTATTTATCGAATAGCTAATGAAACTATTGATAATTTTAAACAAGAAACTCGTTCGGAAGGTAATTGGAAATCAATATATCTAAGTAATCCTTTAAATAAATATAATTTATTAACACGTTGTATGAAAGAATGTTCTCATACAGTATCCAATATGACTTTAAATGATATAAAAACATTAGAAGATGTTTATCAATATTTTTCAACGCCTGTTAAAGATACAAATGTACTTGAAGATTTACAACAATCATCTGAATTACCAAAAAATGTTCATATACAATTAGATGCTGTTCGTTTTACACCTGAAACAAGTTCATTTTTCAATGAACTTGATGCGTTTCCAAAACGATCGACAAAAGTTATTGATTTATGGTACAAGAAAAAATATGCATCATATCCGAAAAACGAAGAAGATCCATTTAAAGATAATATTTACTGATAGTGTTGTTTATTTTTTTTTTTTTTTGTATTCAAAAACTTGTTGGTCTTTTACATTATTAATAAAAAGCACAAATGTGCAACGTTGTTATTCAACGATATTTGATTAATAAAATGATGGTAATGTTGACGATGATTGAAATGATAACCACAATAAAGTACTATTTATTATCGTACAAGAAAAAACGATAGAAACTCTTTTTCTATGGAAATTGGTTTATGAATTGAATTATCTCATATTTTTATTCATGGCAAAGTAACAATTATAGTAGGAGTTTTTCCCTTAGTGACACTGATATTGGTTTACGCCGTCAG